ATGTATCTTATCGTGGTGTATGAAGCTAGTGGGCATTTTTCCAGACTACAAAAGAGCCAGAACATTGTATCATAACCTCTGCTTTGTCAGTCTTGTATCAATCACTTGTTTCAATCAGTGTTTATGTCAATTATAGGCTCTATGGTTATTGGCCATGGCTTTACGAACACAATACATGTCAGTGATTTCTGTGATGACTTCTGGGTGTCATAAAGTCGTAAGTTCTCCAGAAAAAAAATCAGGAAAAAAAATGTAAAACTGCAAATAAAAGGCAATGTATAACTGCACATTCAAGAGGAGCCTCATTGAACAGTAAAAGCAAAATATTCTGGATTTTCTGATATCAACTGATACCTAACATTAGATTCACAATAATTAGACGGAAACATCTGACACTCGTGATATACAAAAAGGCTACAAAATTCAACTGTCACCTGTGCCAGCAGTCATACTAAAAATAATTTCCATATCGCATACATGTACATCATGCACATCAAGCCAAATGGAATAATTATGACAATCATTATTATTGCCGTGGAACAATAAAAAACTTAAAACAATTGAAAACACATCTGCTCTCTTCAATCAGTATATTGCAGCTGTACGTGTACATATGTCATGTAGGTGATCAAACATACAAAATCTCACACATCTACATACTTGGATATTCTCTGTTTCTCTTCAAGCAATTGCTTTTAAATCATTGCTAAAAACACAACTACAAGGTAAAGTAGTAGCTTACTATAACTGCCGTTTGAAAGCAATGTCCCATTTATCCATGGTCATCAGATTTTGACAATTACAAAAGCTAAAACTTGACACATGTGAATGTATTGTCTGCTATATGACCATTGAAACAACAGAACAACCATCTGGAATGTATAAGCACCAATCATGTGTTACACTTTCAGCAGCTTATCTCTGGCTACAAAAACTTCTTCCTTCATGTACATACAGTAGTTACATATTTACAAGATACAAAAAAGGTGCTCAAAATCCAAGTATCTGCAAAGTTCTGTCGATTCGTCTTACAAAAAACAGACCTGATAAAACAGCCTTTTCTACTTCTCTAAATTTCTCAACACTCAATCTTTCTTAGCCACGAACATGTACAAAACAATGAGTTCTTGTAGAAACAGTGACCCTCTCATTACATGTACATCTTGAATCCATGCATACAATCTAAATATCATATTCTTTACACCAAAACTTCTGTTGGCACATCTAAAGAGAAAAATACAAATAAAACCTCTGTCATCAGAAACTGGTTTCTCAAAAAACAGGTAGCCTTGGACTTTTTTTATTCAAACTCTGGGCCTTGCCAAATAACAGAGATTTTATTGTTAAGTTTTCACCGATGTTCCATATGCTTTATACAAACTTATAGGGGTGGGTACCTGCATACTGCACCAGTATGAAAGCCACATTTGTTGAGAAAATGCCGGCAGGTGGTCAGAATGTTCTGGGCGTACTGGTCCACAAAAATAACAATATAAGGACATTTAAGAGCAGATTTAACTTGTATGTATTGCAATATATCTCTGTTCCCTTTCTGCAAATTAGTTGCTTGCGCATTGAAAATAACTACATATCATTCCAATGTACAATTTGAGCATAATTTATAGCACTTACAGTGACTCGTGTCTCGCTCTCCAAAATAAGACATTATTTTCTGTACCCACCCCTACACACTGCATCTCCACCTGGGACTGTCTGACTGGACAAGAAGTCCTCATGCCTTAGGAGGAAGGAGCATTTTCTTGACTTTCTTCCTCCGGGACTTCTCCTTCTGCTGTGGTGCTGACGATGATGACACCTGGCAACAGATAAGTGCGCAGGCCACCAGTCCTACAAGGCACAGCAGTGGAACAACCCAGTAGACAGTCTGCAGTAATTGTCACCTGGGGGAGGGATGCAGAAGCACGCATTATTGGTGATGCCTGAGGGGCAGGCTGGTAGTATATCATGTCAAGTAACAAGAATTCCCTGCAGGAATTTCAGCATAGTCCTCAGTAATGCTGAAGAAGGATTGCTGTTGGTTACAATTGAAGGATTGGTGTATCAGTAACTGTTGTTTGATGTGGAAAAACTGGTTATGTTTAGGTACCAACAGTAGAAGATAGTTCTTGTCAGAATGAATGTGACAGATTAATTATATTATTATTGCAATATTTTCATTTGTGTAATAGTAAGGTAATATATTATTTCAAGATGCAAGAATTTCAGGATATTTTTTAGATATTTGCAGACATTAAAGGGATAAAGGCTAGAAGGATTAAGATTACCTCTGAATGGGTGGCCACTCCGGATGAACAAAGGTGAAGTTGTAGTTCTTGGCCCACCTCCCAAAGATGGTCTTTTCTTGTACAAACTTGTGTTTTGTCTTCCCCCCCTTTCCTGTGTACATGGAACATTCCAGTGCTGACTTGCCATAGTAGTGGTATGGGACATCAGGGACACTCGCATTACGCCTGGAAGGGGGGAAAGCACACCATGTTGTAAAATAATAGTCTGACCTCTGAAAGAGGGAGGGTTTCAAACTAGAGTCTGACACTATTAAAGCTAGTGCTGCTTCATCAAAACAGCAACACGAGGAGGTTCTAGATATAGCAAATATCAAAAGATCTACTAGAGTGCAGGGGTTTTTCAGTCCCAGCTACTACCTCCAGTTTACACCTTATCCAAATCCTTATAAGAAGAACCATAATTGCAAAAAGCCAAGGCTTAATATATGCATTTACAGTTTTGATTTCGATAAGATTGTTTACCAATCCTCCTGATCAGTTTTTGGAAAAGATTTGGATACTTACGTTGCACAGTAGCCATCGTACACCATACCAAATATGGTGGTGGAGTCACAGACCTGCCGCATCAAGGTGAGGGCAAACCAGCCTGTGGACAGGTCCGTCTTACTGCCTCTCCTGTAAACATCAACAAGTCTAGTAAACAAACAGCGACACAGAGAGGATGGTGATAATTTCCCATTATGTCCTACCTGGGCCGCGATTACGTTCGATACGGGTGTTCCGGCCCGTGTGATAACTAGCGGTACGGCCCGGGGGTTCTTTACGCGTACGGCCCGGGCCTTCCAAATGTTCCATAGAACAATTCGAACGTGTTTCGGCCTAACCGCGTGCACCGATTTCGATTTCGAAATTCGAATACAGAATCCGGACGTTGGAATTGATGTTGTCTCATTTTTTGGCTTTAGGGACCAAAATTTTCGCTCATTTCGCATTGAAAGGTGCGTTTTCTTGGGTGGGTATGACATAAATAAAATACAACACGGTGTATTCCGCATCACCCTCGGTCCCAGCCCTCCCGCTGATCAGATCTCCCTCCGGCCTTCGGCCGTCGGGCGATCCGACGCGCGGTCGGGCTGGTACCTCGGGCGATATGGAATACACCGTGTTGTATTCTATATATATATGCACCATGATTTCCTATACACCATACCAATATGCACATGGTCTGGACATGTAATACCTGTAGTGTCCTGTCATGTATCATGTGCCATACCCTATTCCCCACCTCTGGGATAAACATAAAGGCACAAACAATGTACCTTCCATCTACCTACTCAATTAGCTTCATATTACATACTGCTTCATCCACCTGTTATTCTTTATGATAATGGCAATGAAACCTTTCACCTACATACACACCAAGTAAGTTACATGGCAATGCTATTGCTCAACACCACCCCCATGTGCAGATACAATGTCTACATACCATCTCAGATGGCCCTGAGGTTTTAGACATCATTCCTCAATACTGGAAAACTACCAGAATGTACAGGGTAGATTAGATAGTGTCACCACCATACTAGTACATCTGCTTTGAGCTGTTGGGCGTTCCCCTTTGTTGACTGCTTGCTCAGCTGAGTGAGTGTAGTGGTGTAAGTGTAAGTGAATGTGATTTATATTTGACAGATTAATATTCAAAGATTTTTACCCTTCAGTCTTTGTCCAAGTATGACCAGCTAAATTATACGTCTTGATAATATCACTCCCATATGTCTAAAATTTGGACACAGCTCTTCTGCAATAGTCATTGGTTCTGGCAACTCTTGCTGGATTGTTGGTAAATGTTGAATGTGATTTCTTGACAAACCTAATTATTGACAAATATTGCAAAGGATATTATACAGTATACATCAATTAACTGAAGCATGATAGACATGACTGCTGACACTGTGTTTTTTAATATTTATTAGATGTGTGGGCTGCATACATTTCCAAGAAAGCACTGTGCATGCACAGACAAATTTGTTTGAATTCTAGGGTGAACAGCTGTAGTCCCAGACTTTGTTTGTATATAATCCTACAGAAGATGGTATTGATGAGAAGTTGTGTTCCTCACCTGTCCATCCCTGTCTCCTTCTTAAACTCCACATCAACATCCACCATAGCTTTAGACGAAAATTTGTAAAACTGGAGGAGAAATATGACAATGTAATGTTAGTCGCAAAATGATAATCACCAAGATAAAAATCCTTAAGAACAAGACACAGTACTAAGTATCTATCAGGCAATTGAATCTTTGCAATTTCTAATCTAAAAGGTTTGAGAGAATAATGTCACATTCAATGACCAGCTCCTTAACAACATTTTAAGTTAGACAATTTGCTTGATACTCTACTTTGTGATGAGATATATGAGACAAAGTACATCCCAATGAAGATTACACTGTATATCAAACTTAAGGCCTAGCTTCAGATGCTCCTACATCACTGTCTATAAACCATGCTATACATTTATTTTCTGAATGCTTCATTACATGATGTTACGTATAGTAGCATATAGCAGAGCATTTTGGATTTGAAGAATCGCAAGAAATGAAAGTAGTGCACATTGTTTAAACTTATAAAGGTAGATACACGATTAAGTCAAAGAGTAATCATTATGATGATAGAACATACTTCTGTCTTGGGAAACTTTCTGGCCAAGTTTTGAGCCACCTTCAGTACAGGTTTCCCTGGTCCCAGCACCACATCTGGACCCCAAACAACAACCTGCAACAACAGACAATATCACATCAGTCCAACATCAGAATCATCTTAACTGTTTCAACAGGCTAAAGGAGACGTTAGCAAGGATTGTTGCCACATCTTAGGATGATTTGTTGAAGAACCGGCCACACTTAGGGAAAAGAGTAAGGGCCCTTCCTAGTGTGAGTGGATCAAAACAATTCCGGTCTAGATGGGGAAGGGAATGTTCAGACCTCGTCACCTGTTTTTCCCATTGAGTCAATAGTCCTCATTCTCAACGCTTGTCTTGAGCATTGATGTTTCTGACTCAGGGAGAAGAGATGCTGTTCAAGTAAGTGTCTAGAAGTGGTCTCATGGCCTTGCATGGAGAAAATTTGTGAAGAAGAAAGAAATTCATAGAATAGTCTTTCTGCCAGAATCACAAGTTTTCTTAGTTGCATACCGGTGTAATATGCATTTTTCAACGTTTTAAAGCATTCACCAATCAAATGTTATCATAGGATAAGCAATGCTGCATTCAAACATTCTGCCTTCCTATCATTCTGCCAATAAAATGTCCAGGGTGACAGTTACTAGTAGGTATGTTTGGGATGAGTGTTTTGCCATTACAATTTACATGCTGCTGGACAGGTATGGAATACCCAATGTTTAGCTGTCCACAGGGGACAATCCCCTAACACTAGTAACAGAATATGACCAAGGAAATAGCTACTGACTGTCCACAGGAAAACTGGAGCATATTACCGACATTCCTCAGAGACCAATCACATGCTTTGTGCCTTCCAATAAAGACTAGGTCAAATTTTACTAACATTTGATGGGTGAGAGGGGGTCCTTAATCATCCTGGGGACAGTAATCGATAATGTCAGTGACAGCATGACCAGAGGTACAGACAGGTTCAGGTCTAAGGTCATTTTCTTCTCGCAAACATGACTCAAATGTAGCGGTCTCACCCTGTCACCCATCATTCCTAGTGATATATAGATGTTTTGTCCATAACTACTATAATGAGAAAGGTCTTCCCAAATCAGACCAAACTGTCTTGTCTTTTATTGTATTGGATATTGAGGTGCTGACTAATCTTTCTGCAGACAGGGGCTGAATGGCAGAAGCCTACGATTGATGATGGTTAAGTGCAAGGGTCTTGAAGGGGCTGCCTCTCGGCAGGAGGTGGTCATTTGGCTGACCTCGGCACAGCAGTAATTGCCCCAGGTGTGGCCATGACACTACAGGCTGTCTGCCCAATCACAATGGGGCATACCCCTAATCTTTTCAAGAAGGGAGGACCTCAGGGTTCTTGGATATGGCTCCTAGAAGTAGTATGTTCAAAACAACCCTTTTAAAGGGTTGCATCCCTTACCAGTAGGGAACAAGAACTGGAGATTTCATACTTCTGTTTGTGGCCTTCAAGTTCAAAGTGTTTTGGGTTTTGATGTATGTATTGGAATTGTGGAGGAGATCGTATGATCCTGAAATTTAATTGGGTATTATTATTACAGCACTTCAAAGAGTGACCTACAGGCCGATTTGAGCTTCTCATGAATAAAATATGGTTCCTAAATACCTTCAAACTTGACCTTCCTGTCAATCAATTGCCAAAATAATCCCCACCCACCTCTCAAAGCTATTAGGAAAAGGAGGGACACAAAACCACATCTCAGCCACCCAGAACAATACTTCCATGTCTGTAAGTAATAAACTTGGGTTCTAAACTATAACAGCTAAAGCAGGTCTGATTCATCTGCCCAACCCACAATAGAACAGCTGGATCACTAATTCATGACATTACCCTGCACACTTCCAAAGTACCACTATCAGTATTACTTAGTTACTTACTTAGCTTTGAAATTGACTGCAAGAGGAATTCAATTCCAAGATTATCGTGATGATCTGGAGCTGGGCAAGTAATGAAGTGGTCAATGTCAATGAAGGACAAACCACAGACCCTAATGGCAGCTCAAGGTCTCCAGCAAAGAACTACCCGGGTACACGGTCATATTTATTGCAACTGCTGGGCTACATTAGTTATCCCAAGCTAGCCACTTGCAACATCATACTATTACTACATTGTATAATATTAGGTAGTTTTCTAAAGCAGGCCTGGCCTGCTTTAGAAAAAAAACTACCTAGCCGCCTCCCATGTGCAACCATAGCTACAGGCATTTGACATCAGTTGGAAGGACATTTACCAAATCAAGGCAATTACACAAGGTTGACTGTCTCCTGACAGGGGAGAAATTGACAGAGCCTCCGGAGATGAGAGTGAGTTGGCACCTGCACCTGTAAGTAGTCACACTGTCAGCTGTCTGGTGTGGGCTTCTCTATCTATCAGTTTGTACACTCCAAAAACTCAAATACACAAATACAACTGCTTACCCGGTCATTCCAAGTCAAGAAATACCACTACGTGTGTGTGAGTGAGTAGTGTGTATGTGTCTGTGACAAGCCATAGAGCTCCAGCCTTGTTGTGAATAAAGAAAAATGATCTTGATCCAATTTTAGGTTTCTAAGGTAATCTTCCACTTCATAACAGAGAAGACAGATGCTATATGTACTGTATACTGTATTATTAAACAGGTTCACTGTACCAGGGAAATACAATGTAGCTCTTTTTGACAAGTACATGTACAATGAAAATTGGACCACAGTTTTCTGTCCCATCAGATCCTTGGACTGTAACCCTTTTCAGTAGTGTGCATTGTCAGGTGAGTGACAACAGCTGCGATTCAAACTCCCAACCTCTTAGTCCAGAGGCAGGTCACTAACCACTGGATACTATGCAATTATGAGAGCAACAAGAGTTTGACATGATGATTGGAAACTTTAGTGATCCCTCGTGCCTCTACGGCCCTCACCGTCCTGATAAGACAGATAGTCCAATAAACTGTAGCCAGGTTCTACCATGGGAGGTATTCTTCAATTCTGCTTTATTGCCTTGTGTTAAATGGAAGGCCCAAGGCTTTTGTTAGTATGAAATGCTGCCACAAAGGTTCCCAGTTTGTGATGAACTATTTACAGATTCTACTGGTAGGCGAAATCCTGGCTGGTCGACATGATTTTGCTTCAATAGGTGATTTAAATAGGAGCTGAGTTGTTTAAGTATGGTAACTAGAGTAAAATTTGATAATTGTATGCAGCTTTCTGTTGGTGGTCTGTCTACTGAAGACAGAATAACAGCGTGAACAAATTAGGAACTACTTGTCTTATTTCTAAATGGGTCCAAATAAGTATAAATTGGGTATGTCTTAAAGTCACAACCAGTCCTAAATTGTACACCTGGGCAATGACCTTGTGTGATGCCCTGGATATGTTTTCTATGCGAATATGAATATGAGAGATAAAACTTGAAAAAAATGGTAACTTAGTGTGTGTTTTCTATTATTTGTATAGAATATGTATCCAGAGTGTCATACTAGGTCCTTGTTCCAGTATGTACACTACATATTAGACCCTGTTCTGGTCAGTTGTGGCTGATTGTGGTGTTTAGGCACACCAGAATCAATTGAGCTGAAGCTCTGAAGGTGAGGGCTACTTGACGTGTCGACCTTGCACTATTATAGTAAGTGTTTCCAAAACCTGGTGAAACTTTACTACTAATAGAAGCTCCTGTGTTCCATTAAGTGACATGTGCTCATAGTTTCATCCCTGCCACAGGAGACCGAACAGGTAGGCTTCCAGCCGTGAGTCTGTGACATTTACTCTGTGGGACAACTCACCTACTAGATTTTCTTAAAATAGAGTGCTTATCCCAGGTTTAATATCCAGCCACCCTCCCAACATCCAGTCACACCCCCATAAAAACCTGACTAGAGATGCCCGGATGTATAAAATATAGCTGGATATAAAACTGCTGAAAACAAGGCTGGATGACTGGGTGATGAGGTAGTGGTTTCTCCTAAATCATTTAGGAGAAACCATTAGTATTAGTATTACATATTGGTCTTGAGTTATTAGTACTACCAGTAAAATTACCAGTACTACAATGTTTCCGGACCAAGCAATCAGCAACACAAGAAATCGGAGATTTCAGACATCCGGAAGCCCTGGTTGTCGTGAATTTATTGAAACAACCAAGGAGATTGAATGACATACTTTAATCAGAACTAGGACAGGAACTGTTGGAGGGTCACAGGCCTCATGCAATCCTTAGCTTCTTTCCTGAATTCCCATTTCAACCTCTAATTTTCATCACCCTATTTTCTGTGTCTGAACTTTTGACCCGTCCTTCTGCCTGTCAATGTTCCCCACCCATGTGCTGGCAACCTTCGTCCAGGAAAAACGATAGTGCCGTACCCAATGACTGGTTCAGCAGAAATGAAGAGACTGAAATGAGTGGATGGACCACTATTATATTTAATACTGAGGCCATATATTATATAGTCAAGTCAGCCCTCTGATTTATCCACTAAGTCTATAACTAGTAAGAGCTGATACTCAGCATCTATTGTGTAGTTATTGACTAGATCCCTGGAGTTGACTGTGTTGAGCAGCCCCAGCCAGGAGGGTTGCTGTGGTAAGTTGTTGATCCATCACATGCAGTCAGAGGTTACCTGAATGACAATGTGCAGCCATACAGGAGGTCTGCACCTTAACAGTAGATACTTTTCATCAGTCGGGGGTGATAACAGAGATGAAGTCTGGCCGTGCCTGCAATTTGTCAGGATAAACTTGGCCATAAAATATAAAGAAGGTTAATTAGAGCCTTTTTCCCTGCACATTTCTGAGGCAATGTCCTAGCATTACTGCTGATTTTTCCATCATAAAGCATTAGGGCCATGTTATTTCCATCCACGTTCTTCAGTCAGAAACCGGTGGGTCTACTAAGCAGTTATATTACCCTCCCTATATAATCTGTCAGTTCAATTTCCAGCTGTAACTTTGCCAGTGCTGCAGTTAAACCAGATTGCCCATAACAGAGGTTCAAGGTAAATGGCCACAGTTGCAAGGCACAATGCCTTGGGTTTCCAAAACAGTTTTGGGTGCAGCTCAGCTTGTATTCATTGATCAACACCCTCACAGATCA